AGAAGCAGAAAATATGGGGGAAAGGAATCAAAATAGGACTCACCCAGTGGGAAAATTTCTAGCAGCAAGAAACAGAGCAAAAGCCAACACCCATATCTGGCTAAGGTGGTGATGGGGGTCTGGAAGTCTGTGTTTCCTTCTGCTGGTGACTCATTACTAATTGCAACTCTTCTCTTTCTCCTTTTATCATGCCCACATTACCACCTTGAAATTGAACCACCTGTCAAGAATTACCCTACGTTCTGCAAGGAAGTCTGGAGTTTGTAGTTCAGAGCTGATGACATTTCGGCGCCAGGTCAAAACCTTCCTGTTCCAGAAGGCTTTTAACTGAAATAATATTAGCTGTGGGTCCGATGGCAATTTTATATATATTTTAATTGTATTTTAATGGCTACATAATTTTATTGTATTTTAAATGCTGTAAGCCGCCCAGAGACCTTCGGGTAGTGTGGGCGGCATATAAATTAAAAAAAAAGAAAAAGAGAGATTCATGTATAAAGAAAATCTTTTTTCTAAGGGAAAAAACATTTGAGAAGGGGTTTTTCCTTTGGTGTCTCCATTTTCATATTTTCATCACTAACCTTCCTGTTTTTATTCATTTTCTCAACTTCCACATGTTGTCCATGTTTGAGGGGATTTCAAAAATTAAAGAGCACAAACGCATGCAATGTCTTAAATCCTTTGGCTTAGTGTATTAAGTTGTGCTAGAGTAGGCCCATTGAATCAGTAGGGTTTTGGTGAGTCAACTGCATAGGTTCCATTGATTGAAGTGGTCTTACTCTAGTTGTTACTTCCTTTGCTAAAACAAGTAGCAACTCAAGTAGATTCATCTGAATCCATTGGCCCTACAGAGGAGTTGACTCTCCTGATCCCCACTTGCTTCAATGAGCCACTCTAGTGCAAAATACGATGTTGAGCAACAGGATTTCAGCCATCCACTGGAAATTGCGATTGACTTTTCAGTTCTGGTCACAGTCTGTTTCCCAAGGTAAGTAGGGAAACACCAGCCAGCATGCTATCCCTTGCCCCAGAGAAGGTTCTCAGCATGTTCTGGGCTCAGTATGTTTAGCTCACTTCAGGATTTGTTGTTCTTGTAGTAGTTGTAG